AACTCTGTATTTTCTGCTCAAGAAATAAATAATTAAACCAAGACAATTCATAAACACCTGAAGATCTCAGAAATTTGTGCTCTGATAATTCTGATTTTATGACATTTTCAATAGGACTTAGACTCTAATGTAAAATTTGCTTTGCAAATCAATGCCAGGGACTGAGCAGCAGAAGAAATAGTTGAAGTCTTATCCCTTCCACTCCTAGCTTGCTGACTTGGTCCTAGTAACCTTTCACAGTGCTCCCTCCCCTTGGCTCCTGGAGTCCTACCTCAGATTTCCATTCCAAATGATGCTCAGATTAGAATAGATAGGACTAAGGTATGGCCCTGGGCACTGGATGGAGATTGTACCCAAAGTAAATCCTTGAACTTGAGGCTGGTTACTCAGTGCTGCTCCCTTATCATGCAATTCAAGAGCTCTAGCAGATCAGACCACCTAGGAACAAATCTTGGCTCTGCCACTTTCTTTCTCTTTTTTTTTTTGGTACTGGGGATCAAACTCAGAACCTTGCGCTTTTGAGGCAGGCGCCGGACCCACTGAGCTAAATCCCTGGCCCAAAGAATTTTTTTTTTTTTTTTCGAACTGGGGATTGAACTCTGGTCCTTGCACTTGCAAGGCAGGCGGTGGAACCACTGAGCTAAATCCCCAGCCCTGTCACTTTCTTGCTTAGTGAATTTGAGCAAATCATCTTACATCTCTCTCTGATCCACTGTTTTCTTCAAGAGATGGAGGGAATGGGGAGGAAGGAGAGGGCAAGAGGACATAAAGAAGTTATGATGTGTTATATACATGCATCAACTTTCCATAGGAATGTAATCATGTACTGCAAACATGGAGAAATAAAAAAATCAAAATGATTAAAGCCAAAAGATGTTAAGTGGGCTTTCCTAATGTAAGCTCTGTAAAATGCTTTTCAAACGTGAAGGATTATATTGAAAGTTACTATGAAAAGTTCAGATCAGTTAAACATCCCTTATGTACTGGGAAGTTTGAGAGCTGAGAATATGACAAGGAGAGAAATGAATTCTCCATCCAGCAAGAGTTTTGAGGTGTCACAGTCTAGTGAGAGGGGTGGCGATGACAGTCAACTGCAGCCATGCGTTCAGTGTAGAGCGCAATGCTGTAATGGGAGCAGAGGGGAGTAGGGTGTCACCTGCACCTCAGACTTTGGCGAGGTTTCCAAGACAAAATGATATTAGAATTGAATCTTGAAAGGGAAGTACAAGGTTGCCAGGTACCCAGGGAACATTCCAGGCAAAGGGACAAGTTTGGGGAAGAAAGGGGGGAAACAGAATAAAGTCAAAGTGGGCAACACCAAGCAACTGTCTGCTGCAGAGTTGAGAGTGTGGATGGGAGCAGAGGTTACAAACAGATGAGCAGGTCATATTTTGGTGCTTTTTTGGTAGGTAGCAGTTAGATGATGCGGTAAGAAATACAAGAACACCAGGTAAATACAGAGCAGCAAGGAATTGTTTTATAGGTTGCCTGAAGCTGTGAAAGACCCTGAGTTTCCAGCTCTTTGACTCCAGACTCCCTGCGTGCGGCCTGCATTGGCCATCAGTTTGAATATGTCCTTCTGAGGAACTCCAATCAACCTTCCCAAACTTTTTACCACCCCATGCCAAACCCCAGATGGCCCTAGCTCCTAGTCGTGGAATCACCCCAGGCTTTGGTTTTCCCCAGCTGAGATCCCAGACAACTATGCTCACTGTGCCCTGACTAATGGGCCACAGCCTCTATGAGCAACCCACGATGAAGTCACCAATGCCGAACAGAGAAGGGTTCTCAAGGTGATGAGTGGTGCCTGGGGAAGAGACTCTTCTGCTCAGGGCGCGTTCCAAGGTCAAATGGGTGATGGCTGCATCATGCTACTGCCACCAGCCTTCCTCAAATCCAAACTTGGTCCTGTCTCTCCTCTTGCTTGCCTTCTCTTACTTAACTGCTTAGCCTCTGCCTAGGTCAGTGATGGCAAACCTTGTAGAGCTTTCAATGATACTAACATCCTGCTGTAGCACACATGCCATAGCTCGTCCACCACTGGCTTAGGCCATCTCATTGTGCCCCTCACCTACCCTTGGAGTCTTATCTTCTGCTACTCCCTCCATAGCCCCATGCTCCTTCCTCCTTGCAGCTTGGGGAAGTGCAGTTTGACTCAGGGACTAAAAACTGTGCAGCCTTCCCTAAGGCTCCCTCCTCTCCTAGGCCTTCTCAAAATCTGGCACTTTTCTCTTAGGTATCTTTTCAGATTGTTCATTTTTTTGTGCTTCTTTTCTTGGTGAGCTTGTGATTTTCTTGAGGAGAGGGGCCATGCCTGATTTGATCTGGGACCAGCACTGTGTCTGGCCCATAATAGATGCTCAATAAATGTTAGTGGATGAATGACAGGATGCTTGGAAGAGAGGAAGGAGAGAGGAAGGGAGTGAGGGATGTTGGCTCTCTGGCAAAGATCATGAGTGAACATCGTCTCAGAAGAGTGCTCACTAAATGCTACCCTCAATTAGCTTTTTTACTCTGGTTTCTCTTTCATTCTCTCTTTCACATGACTTCTCTCACACTCATTGTTTGGTACATCTCTACTTCCAGAAATGTCTGCTGTGCTGGGCTTGGTATATTTGGGACATGGATACCCAGGTAATATCTCTGAACCAGTGCAGTTCCTTTGACTACTCTGGGATGATAAATCTGAGATCCCTAATGCAGATTTCTATTTTACATTTCCTTGTGGAATATTTTAGGAAACATTAGTTACAATGAAAATGAGAGGTAGAAAAAACATCATTCAGTGTTCTCACACAAGGCTGTTTTCTATGGTCCACAGGCTAATTTTTTTTATTTAGAATTAGAAACTGATGATACTTTCACTTTTTCCCTTAGGAAAATATTAATGGATTTAGCAATCTTACTTTGAGGGTAATTCTCCAATGATTCTGCCTAAACGCTTCTCCTTTAATTTCATCCCAAGGCCAAGCATAATGCTTGAAATGATTAGTTCACACTGCAACTAATTTAGAATTTGACTTAGTGCAGACACAGTTTGCATGTATATTCATATAACAAAGGTTTGAAATGACCCTTTATCTCCAAGGTTTCAGAATCATTTACAAATGTGCAGCATTTCATCTGAAGTTGTCACTATTTTATAAACCAAAGGCTAAAGAAATCAAGTCCCCTTGCATTATCAGGGCTTTTCAACTGTTTTTGAAGACTGAAATGGTTATGATGCATGCAGAAGTAAAGTAGGCTGCTATGGTTTGGGTGTGTTTTGATCTTTTACTTATGTTCCCCCAGGCCTACTGTGATTGAAGGCTTGGTCCACAGGTTACCCCTGTCCAGAGATGATGGAACTTTTGGTAGGTGGAGCTTAGTCAGAGATCTTTAGGTCATTGTCAGTGTATCCTTGAAGAGTATTATGGGACCCATCTCCATTTCTTTCCTCCAATTTAAGACATGGCCCTTTGCCACCTTCCACAGAGGCCAAAGCAACAGGACTGTTCATCTTAAATAGGATTTTTCACCTTAATATTCTTTACAGATAATATTTAAGCATTTCCATTTGGCTTTTGACTCTCTCAAACTGTGAGCCAAATAAACCTCTGTTTACTTCATAAGTAGCCTGTGTCAGATATTTCATAATTATAGAAAGCTGACTAATACTCAGGTTCATGACATATTTCAGTTTTTAGTCAATTGATCTCATTTACTTAGTAGGAACCATTTATAAAAAATTTAATTTAACCAAGTATCTGGATAAGGTAATGTGGGCAAATATGTGAACTAATAAAAACTATGCAACTTTCAGGTATAATTGCCATCTACTATAATTGTAAATACAAGACTACATTTTTGAAAAAGTGTAGACAAGCTAGATATATATGCTTACCATTTCTGTTATAAATGACTCTTTATTATTTTGCATATTAAGATAACAAAACCAGAGAAAAATTACTTTTAAGATCCTTCCACATTCTCAGGAGAAAACACCTCTGTATTTTTTTAAGTCAGGTAAACAGCTTCACAACCTAAAAGTCTGAGAGGTTCCTCCACAGAGATATGAGGCTGAGACATAAATCCCAGCACTAACCCTCTCCACAATGCACTTCCTGTCTCATCTTCCTCCTGGCAGATCTGCCTTGAAGGCTCTGGTTTTGATCATGGCTTCAGGCTGTTATCCTTCGTGGCTGATCTCAGGCCCTCTGAAGACCCAGAGAACCTTTGACTACTGGAGGAGTCTTTCTCATCTTAAAATTTTTCTTTAGAGACAGTATTGACTCTCTTGGCCCCAGAATTTCATTCTCAGAGTAATAAGTGAATTATGTAATGGCTATATTCTGCCCACAGCAGCCATCGGGATCTTTAAAGAGGTAAATCATAGCTTATAATCTGCCTTCCCACTGTACTTCAAATATTGACATTCCTCACTGGGACCAGGGATCTTTTAGGATCCTGCCCCCATCCCTCTGCATCCCTGGATCCAGTCACTGCTCCCCACTCATTCTGCTCCAGCACCTTTCTCTGGACTGGCCTCTGATACACCCAACTCTCTGCCTAAGGACTTTGGGCAATAGGTCCCTCTGTCTCGTACACTCCCCTACTCCCCACTATATAGTCATACATTCTTCTTTTTCAAGTGTAAGCTTAAATATCACTTGATTATCCTGTCTCTACGGCTTTGCACCAACCATCTCATATCTTCTCACTCTGTATCTTACTCTCTATCACAGCACCATCTTCATTCTTTTCCTGAGACTTTAGGTTTAGAATTACTTCTTGACTTATCTATTTTCTTCACCACCAGACTGGAAACTCTTTGGAACAAGACCACAGGTCATCTGGACCTAATAGGATATCAGGCTCTAAGTTGGTGTGGTTAGCACTGCTACGTGCCCAGTTACACCACACTTCCCAGCTTCCCTTGAGGCTGTGTTGCTAGGTGACAAAGTCATCAGCTTTGGGAAAGGAGAGAAAAAGATACATTACCTTCTGTCTCATTTTCTCAGAAAGTAATCCCTAATCCAGTTCTCTTCCCTGAGGGGAAGAGGATGGAGGTGCCATGATCAACTTGACTGTGTAGACAAAGACACCACTCTGGAGAGTGGCAGAGCAACTGGAAGGAAGCCTAAGTGACCACATATGGCAGAACCTGCCTCATCCTGGACTGTTTGCTTGCAGTGTTGCACAAGTATGGAATAAACCTGTATTTCTTTAAGCCACTCTGTTTGATTGTCTCCTTGTATCTTAGTTACTTTCTTAGTTGTCACTGAGACACAATACCTGCAAATTAAGTGAGAAAAGTTTTATTTTGGCTCATCATTTGTAGAGGTTTCAGTCCATAGTTGGCTGGCTCCAAGGCAGGACAGCATGGCAGAGGGTCATGCAGAGGAGAAGTGACATAGCCTGGTGGTCAGAAGCAGAGAGGGAGAAGGGAGGAGCAGGGTGGACATAAACCCTTCCAGGCCACACTCCCAGTGACCCACCTCTTCTGACTAGATCCCACCTCCTAACAGCAAGTCAACTACAAATTTATCAGTGGACTAATCCACTGATGACTGTCACACCCCCATGATCCAGTCCCCTCTCCCCAAACTCCAATTATGAGTACATGAGGGAACACCTAGACATAAACCACACTTTCTTACATAGCTTTAGCTTTCAGTTCGACTGTTTTTGTTGAGAGAATCTCAGGAGCTTGCCAATTTTACCCAGGGCTACCACTACCTCAGGGCAAGGGAAGAGGTAGTCATGACCAGGAACCATCCTCTGAGCACCTGCCAAGCACTGGACAAACTTAGGACTTCCCTATGCCTGTTGCACACCCTCATCTTTTCCTAACCTTGTGGCTTGTGATGTCTCACTGCACTGTTGACAGATTCTGCTCTGCCTTCCAAAAGAAACCAAACTTAAAAGAATGTCATGAACTGTGCTGCATGTAAGTAATGCTCTGCAAGTGGAGATTTCAGGTAACTCTTTTATAAGAGATCTTGTGTGAGACTGAAATACCACCTTACAGATTGTGGCAGCCTGTGACCCACATCAGAGCTGAGAATTCGGCCCATTTAATAGTGCTATACTTACTTGTTTCCAAAGTGAATGTCTGTGACATTTCATACCTGAACTTTCAATGTTAGCCAAATGCTCCTAAAACTCCTGCTCCGTGATGGTGGCTGGTTTTGTTTGTTTATTGAACTTTTTAGGAAGTAGATTAGTTGGGAGTGGTGATTCCCCTAATAATTATCAGTTATGGCTTTAATCTTTAAGAAAAAATGTTTTCTCCTTTTCAGTGAACTTTTAACTTGGGTCCTGTATATTTTTAAGCTTTCTTGTATTTGAAGAAAGACGCATAATGTAGTCATTCAGTTAATTGCATCTCCTCCCAGAGGTAGCATTTAAAAAGAAGATATCAGGGTTTAGGGCTTATTTTTAAGTCATTTACCCTAGTAAACAGATTCTGAGAGGGGAATTTGAGTGCAAAAAGTTTATTGGAGAGTGTTGTGGAAATAATACCTGGGAGGAGGGGTGAGAGAAGCAGAAAGGGGCAGAAGAGTTGAAATGTAATAAAGCAAGAACCCTGAGCTAGGGTGGCTCCTCAGAACTGTCCTGTATTGAGGATAAGTGAGTTGGCCCTACGAATTTTCCACCCGAAGCAGGACTTAAGAGAAAAACAAATCCTTCCCAGCCTTGGGCAGTTCCCCCCACCACTATCACCCCCCTCTTCCCTGTAGCTCTAACTCCTTTTTCTGGTACAGATAAAATTGACAGCTATTTCTGGTAAACAAAGTTTATGACATTCTGTTCTCATATGATTTATAAGACACTGTCTTCTTTCAAGGCAAAGTTACAAAACTGTCTGCCCTTGTCCTGTTCCAGCAAACTCACTTGCTACTTCACTAGACAAACCACCCACTTTGACAAAATGTAGAAAAGCTGGAACTTCTCTTTGTTCAGTGCTCTTCCTTTGGACAGGAATCCACTGAGCCCGTATATACCTTAAACCTGAAATAAAGTCCTCCTGTTTCAGTCTGTGGGTCTCTCCAGTCTCTTGGATTCCTGCAACACACCCACCAGTCATTAGATTTGGCTTCCCCCTGGAAGACAATGCCACCGTTGTGAGCAGCTCTCTGTAGGGCAAAGCGTAGGAAGGGTCTCAGATGTAAGCTATCAGAGGCCAAACCTCCTGGAAGCCACGGGAAGGTGCACCATGGTCCTAAAGTGGGGTCCAGCCAGTGCTACCTGGCAGCCTGTGCAGGGCTTCAACATCAACACTGCAGTCTGAGCAACACTGGACACGTGAGGCCATGGCCTTGCCCATCTTGCTCCCTGCCATATCTCCAGTGCCTAGCACCTAGCAGAATGGTAGGTACTCAGACATTTTCTGTGATAGTCCGCTTTACACCAGTGTGACAAAATACCTGATATGAACAGCTTAAAGGAGGAAAGGTTTATTTTGGTTCACAGTTTCATAGGTTTCGATTGATGATCATTGCCATTGGCTCCATTGCTTTTGGGCCTGTGGTGAGGCAGAAACATCATGGTAGAAGAACGTGGCAGAAGAAAAGTGCTATGAACCCAGGAAGCAAAGAGAATGAGTAAGAGAGCTTGTGATGGTGGACTTCCTCCTTCTGCTTTTGCTCCATCTGGGCCCCAGCCTATTGGATAGTGCTGCCCACATTCAGGGCAGGTCCCCCCTTAGTGTGTGGAGGCCCCACATGCTAATTATTTCTAGATAACTAACACCCTTACAGACACACGCAGAAGTGTGCTTTACTAATTTCTTATGTGTTTCTCAATTCAACCAAGTTGACAGTCAATATTAGCAATCACATTTGCTGAGTAAACAAAGGAAGAACCTTCAGGATTATGCAAAGGACATATACATTAGGATACTTTCAACAAACTGTCAAAATTGAGAAGCCTGACTTGATTTAAAACTTCCCAAGTTGAGACAAAATCTTCATAGATATATTAAAGCCACACACAGTATAGTAAGCTCTATTACCTCCTAAGTTGGGACAGATCCAAGAAAAATATTTTGAGTGTATTGGAATAATTAGGAAAGTGGCAGATGAGTTTCTTTCTAAGTGAGAATTAGTCAGTGTATTCTCCCCAAAGTACTCTTAAACTCAAAATTAGGATACATCTATGGTGAGGTCAGACAATAGGAAAGACTACTTAATGTTGGAGGCTTCTTGCAAAGGCATCTAGAAGACCCACAGGCTGAGGGTTCTGAGTTATTGGTTATGAGTGATTTTGTGAGATAGAAATGAGTCATGGAGGTTGGTTTCTGACCACCCTGTGGGCTGCTGTATGACAAGGGCTATTGCTATGCCATGCATGGTCAGCAGCAGCAGCAGCAGCAGCTCTGGAGCCTGCAGGTGGAAAGTACTTTACTGTCTAGAAAGCATGTTAAAATTCACAATCTCATTTGATTCTCAAATATAGGAAGAGGACATAAAAATACTTTCCTTATAGCATTACACCAATAACTTCAACACAAAATGATTAACAAAATATTAGTAAATTAAGACCATCTATAAATGGAATTTATTCTAAGAATGAAACATTCTTTATAAACATTTGAAAGTTAATTTCTGTAGCTTGATAAATTACAAGATTGGGGCAGAAACATGTGATCATCTCAAGTGAACAGAGAAAACACATTTGGTAAATTCAACACTGAGTAAACTAGCACTAGAAGAGAACTTCAGTTGGGTAAAAGGACATCTATAAAAATATCTGCAGGTATCATAGATGGTAGTGAAATGCTCGATCCTTTTCCATGAGTAGAAATATGGCAAGAATGCACACTCCATTTCAAATCCATCGTGTACTGGAAGTCTCAGCCAATACAGTAAGGTGTGAAAAAAATTTTACAGATTGGAAGGAAGAAGTAAAGCTAATTGTATACAAGTGCAAATTCCCTATGTGTTATCATTATGTAAGTTTAAAATGTGCCAATAAATGTTTTGCTATAAAAAAGAAGTAAAATTAAAATTTTCAGATGTTTGACTATGTCTAGAGATGAGGAAAGTGAGGCTTGGGGAGATTAAATGACTGTGTGAGTTCATGCTAGGTTCAAACCTAGCTTTCTTGACTTCAAACACTATATCAAAGTCAAACAAAAATGCAGGGACAAATCTGCAAGAAAGGAAATTTGAACAATTTGAGTATAAAAAATAGAATTGCAATTCCAGGCACAGATGCACAGGCTGGCCTCTGCTATGCCTAGATCACAAAGGAAAGGTCAGGGGTCTTATTAGGATAGGTAAGTCTATACCCGTTAGTTTGAAAATTCACTGGCCCTTGGGAGCTGGCAAGCGCTGATTGGTGAGTGGTGGCAGGCACTATGTAAAGCTAGTCTTAAGGGCATAGTTGATAGGTTTGTGGTCAGTTGCCAAGTAAAAATAGTCTTAATAGGCAGGCTGTTTCATTGGATTGATTGTGCAACAGAACTCCCAGAACAGACATCCCCCTTACTGAGTTTTCCCCCTTACTTTTCCAGGGTCTTGGATGCCATTTTATGGGGTAAGACAGGAAAGACTTCCTTTTGTACAATGAATTTTCACAACTAGAATGAAAAAAGGGACTACAGAGGTACCTTGGTTCACAAACTTAATTCATTCCACAATTCTAGGGAAAGTATCCACATTTATGTTCTTGTGAGGAAGGTGGACTTGGTTGTGTTTGTCACCTCATGTAGAGTTAGCAAATGGAAGTAAAATTTTGCTGAACATTTCTGTTTGTGAACCGAATTGTTCCAGAGTAGAAGTGTTCATGAGCTGAGGCATGTTATTACTATATTTCATTTGCTTAAAAGAATCAAAGTAAAATTTCAGTTATGCTTCTTAGGAAAGATCATTTCAATTCAACACTGTACTGGCCTTAGCCAGGGCAGTAAGGCAAGGGAAGAAAAATCATACAATTTGCCACTGGACATTTTCTAGGAAAAAAATCAATAGTGAAAATGGGGATGGGGAAGCCTTGTCTGTCCAGGGCAGACCAATAAACAAGGCTCTAAGACCTGTGGACATTGAAATGTGGGCAATATACAGCTCAGGTGAACATGGACCCATTCACCATATCCTGGGTGGTAAAACTGAGAGCAACTCTCAACCTTTGACACAGGGAAGGTCAGGGATGATGAAAAATACTTTTTTTCTCAGTACCTTCCATGTACTTAAGAATTTCCTTATTAAAAGGTGGTGCAGGACA